TGAAAGATCAGACATTACCATCCTTCTGAGACCTGGTCACTGTGCAGTGATTATGCTAGAAGCAGCCTTAAATGATTCGAGATGAAACGTGCGGCCCCATCTGGGAGGAAGTCCTTTTCAAGAGAGCTGCTGGCCAATCCAATTAGATGGCAGCTCGTTTAGTCCCAGCAACACCAAGGGCAAGTATGACTGCTGCTGGAACTATAGGCAGTCACTGAAGAAGAAGATTGCTGGTCACCAGACTTGAATATGAGTCTAGGGCTTTGGATGGGCCTGGCTGTGCTCCAGTGATGGTTGGAGAGCAGTTGGGGTGGGGGCATGGGGTCTAGGCTTGAGAAGCTGGTTGGGGGGAGGATAATAAGGTGGGTACAAATGTGAGGTATGCCTCTAATGGGCACAAGGGGTCCCCCAAAGGAGGTACCGCATTTCCTGCCAATCTGCAGTCTGCACTGTGAAAGCTACCAGGCTTATCCCTTGGCAGCTGCCTCCCTCTCACATGTAAAACAGCGATTAATGTGGAATGAGGCCGGTGAGGCAGTAGCTGGCTACCTAAGTTCCTCAATCGACCTTTGGGTGCAGGGGCTGCCTGACACATTCCCTGCCCATGATTATCTGGGAAACAGTTTGGAGGTTAGTGGGAAGGCCTCATGCATTACCTTACAGATTTCCTCAACATTCGAATATGCCAGTGGGGATATGGGGGAATGGCTACAAAATCCAACTCCACATCTGGAGCTTTACTCGGAGCTGTATCCATTCTGCCAGTACACACTATCCAGATGTGAAAATAATGGTACCACCACATTAAAACAAAATAAAGAATCATGGAAGCTGGAGATCTGAAACACACAATAACTGGAATCTGTGACACATTAAATAAGAAGGATTTGTCATTCACTAGCTTTTGATAAAATGTAATGCCAAAGAAGCTTATGTAGGCTGGAATTGAAAGTGAACTCATTTTGTACTTGAGTGCACAAAGAGAAATGGATTTAAATGAAGGTTTTTACGTTACTTAAAGGTAGACTGACCTTTGTTTGAGAAGTGATGTCATAATTAAAATGTTTAAACCTTATTAAGTCATCAAATCACAAACATTAGCAATAATATTTTTCAGAGGAGGTAGAAGCAGATATGATAGCAACATTTCAGAGACATAAATAAACAGACACGCAGGGAAAAGAGGGATAGGGACCATATGCAAGCAGTTGGGATTAGTTTAGAATGGCATCATCATTGGCACAGACATGGTGAGCCTAAGGGCCTGTTCCTTTGCTGTACTGTTCTATGTTCTAGATTTTGCTTTCTTCTGATCATGCTGACGTTGGGAGGATGAATGTTCTCTCCTTTATAAATACAGATTTAGATATTGATTTAGATTTTTCAGACATTGGCATTCCTTGGACATCTCATCCAAGTAGCCACAGAGCACAGCTATTGCTGCTCTTAGTAGTCTCTTGCTTTGTACTTCACATAGTGCTTTATGCTACCTATTCCATCATTTGTAATGTTGCTTGCACAGGATTCAGTTGCTGGAAAGTGCTGAAGATAAACATTTGTGACACTATTTTTGTTGGGTTTTCTAATGGCTTGTCTTTAGTTCGTAGCCTGATTAAGAGCATAACCCCTGATGTAGAGGTCCTTATGTTTTTGAGAAATGATTTATTTGGATGAGATTGACGTAAGTCTGTGCCTTTGCAAGAGAAACATCAGTGGTGCGAAAATGTTGACAACTGCAGTTGCCTATTTATACGCTCACTTTGCACTGAAATGAGTACACAGAATATATTGAAACAGTGTGGTATTTTGATTTAATGCTTGCATTTGGTTTGGTGCTCAATTAGTATTTAATCTGCGAGCACTTCCAGACTTTTTGACATCGGTGCAGACGTTATGAAGCTTTACTAATTTTCATATGATTTTGTGGAATCTGTGTTGTGGTTTGGGTTCTACTGGTACCAGTGACAACAGAGGCCAGCTATAAATGTAGATGGCTGTGGCAGTTAGGAAGAAACCATCGGCTGAGCTACTTGTGGCCAACATCTTTTCAGATATGGTTTACCATTTTTCTGCAACCTTTATGCATTTTTTAATTAACTCATGGAACGTAGGTGTCACTGGTGGCCAGCATTTATTGCCCATCCCTAGGGAGGAGGTGGTGGTGAGCATCCTTCTTGAACCATTGCTTGTCCATGTGCTGTTGGTTGATCCACAATGTCCTTAGGGAGGGAATTCCAGTGCTGCTACTGCTTACTGTTGGCCCTGACCTCATCGGTGTTGTAATGTAAAGGTAACTATTTATTTTTTAAAAACTTAAATGTTTCCAGTTAGCCATATGCACAAATCAATTTGCGTAGCTGATGGATACTTTGTGAACTTTGAATTGGATTATTCTGTATTTTAATCTGTCTGATTTAGTTTTCACACTGTTTCAATTTGTTCATTTCTTAGAAGAAGAGGTGGTTCACAAGATACTTGAGATCAAATTGGTAGGTATAGTACATGATTTGAGTTTTGAGATTGATATTCATAACCTGTTGATTTGTGGCAAAAGAAAGGAAGTGGACAGTTTTTTTGCGATTGGTACTTTTTGAGATTGTGCTACATTTGAAAATTAACACATTCAAACATCCTTTTTATTGTGGGTGTCTTTTTTTCTCAAAAAAGGTAAAATTACTGAATTTGAAAGAAGCATTCTTGCTGACATTCCACATGTGTAAGAGCAGTAAAGTTATTGCTTAAACAGAATGAATGTTATTTTGTTACCAGTTATTTATTGAAGGTTCCTTGAAGTTGAAGAGAGAAAGTTGTTAACAAGAAATTACAGATATCATGAGGACTGCAGTATCTTACAGATAAGATAATAAGGAGAAAGTCCTAATAAATCAGTGTGGTATATCATTACCACATGTATAATTATCGTCAGTAGCATCATCATTGTTTGAGTTTGTGTTGTTAACATGAAGAAGTTAACACTTGAAGTTAAAAGCAGCAACTGTGATGACTTCAGTAATTTAATAGGTGGTATTTCCTCGTACAGGTAGGTTCTTGAACAGCAGATTTTTGGGAGGGAGAGAAGTCGCTGATCATCATTTAGTTCTGTAATTTCAGCGCTTTCACATCCTTTTCAACAGAACACAATTTGTTTTCTGAATACGCTTTTCTCTAAGTCCTCCCTTGATCAAAGCTTCCGCCTGAGAGTAGTTCTCAAAGACATTTTCTTGGCATTCTGCATATCAAGGTGGCTATACAGTCAGTTGTATACAGTTGCAACTTGTAAAGTGACTGTTCCAGACTGAGTTATCTTTACCACAGTGGGAGTGGATTAATCTAGGGTTTTAAACTAGACACATCTATTGTCTTTTAGCTGAGGCATTAATATTTTAATATTAATATTGTACTTTAATATTGTTGACTTCTGTAGGAAGGCTGTTGCTAAACGTGACAGGATGCAGCAACGATTTACAAGAATGTTGCCGGCACTGGAGGTTTTGAGCTATAGGAAGAGGCTAAATACACTGGGGCTATTTTCCCTGGAGTGTTCGGAGGCTGAGGGGTGACCTTGCAGCAGGCTATAAAATCACAAGGGGCATGGATAGAGTGAATAGCCAAGGTCTTTTCCTTGTGTGAGAGAGTCCAAAACTAGAGGACATAGGTTTAAGGTGAGTGGGGAAAGATTTAAAAGGCATCTGAGGGGTGGTTTTTTCACACAGAGGATGGTGCGTGTATGGAATGAGCCATCAGAGGATGTGGTGGAGGCTGGTACAATCGCAGCATTTAAAAAGCATCTGGATGGGTATATGAATAGGAAGGGCTTTGAGGGATATGGGCCAAAGACTGGCAAATGAGACTAGATCAGATTGGTAAGACTGGTTGCTGCAGATGAGTTGGATTGAAGGGTCTGTTTTTGTGATGTATGACTCTGTAATATAAAGTGCTGTGGAAAATTAACAGGTCTGGCAGCATCTGTGAAGAGAAAACACAGATACTGCCAGACCTGCTGAGTATCTCCAGCAACTCCTGTTTTCATGTGTTACCAGCACACTTCCTGTGAAGTTACAGCAGAGAAGCAAGGGCATTCCCCAAAGGCATTTGTCACCAGTTTTGTCCTTGTATGGCATTCTGCCAAGTGTCCCATTTGTGACCCTCAAAGCCCATGTAACTCAGCAATATTTGAATGTGTATGTGACATTGGCTGGCCAGTATTCTTTCAATTTTGTGAGTGTGTTATGTTCAAAAGAGATGTTTTGGTAGATACATTTTAAATTGCAACACTGGACTGTCGTCACGAGCAATTTGAGTGAGATGCATGTTAATCACAACAGGCGCTTATGAGTTTAAAACTAATGGAGGGCCATTTGGATCTATCCTGTGCAAAAAGGAAAAAAGACTTATAAAGCACCTTTCAAATTCCAATGCCTTTATAGCACTTGAAGTGATGTAAATGTTTTAATATAGGAAACATGGCAGCCAACTTGCACTCAGCAAGTTTCTAGAAACAACTATGATATTGTCCATTGAATCAATTTGGTGATATCCATTTGAGGGGTAATTATTGACTAAACTAACAGGAAAAGCTCCCTCATTCTTCATTAAAATAGTGCCATGGTACGCTTTTAGTACACTTGAAACCAAAGGGAGCTCGGTTTAACATTTCATCTAGAAGATGGCACCTCTGACAATGCACTACCTCCTTGGTTATGAACTGAAGCATCATGCTGTATTCCTGTACTGAAGTTTCTGGAACAGGATTTAAACCCAAAACGCTCCGACTGGAAAGGTCAGAGTGTTGCTACAGACATGTAGAGCACATAGAAGCTCTCCTTGTCCAGCCTAGTTGAAAATTTACAATTACATTGCAAACTGCTTCCAGATGATGGGTGTAAGATTTGTATGTGTGCCAGGATACCAACAACACAAACCAAGCATCAAATTCAAGTCAGAATATTTATTTTTCTTTTAACAGATTTGCTTTACAAGCTCACAAATTAAATGCATCAGGAAGACTAATGTCATGAAGAATATATCTTATTTTCACAGGAAGATTAAAAGAGCTGGTACATAATATTAACTGAAACCTCTGACTCCTGTGCAGAAAGAGATAGAAGAATTAGATACCAACTGACATTATCGAACAAGTGTGCAGTCAGTTCAACCTTGTTATTTTGTTTGTTCTAAGACATTCAAAAACTATTTGGGTTGAAAGCGTTCTGACAAATACAAACACACCTATAGAATTGTTATGCGTGACTGGTAATTCTAGCTACATTTGATAATACTGAACATTAACCAATGCATTTTTTGGCAGCTATAATTTATCATTGGGAGGTTCATATAATTCGGATTTTCATTTGAAGTGGTATGATTACAGGCCCTTAATCACAAACACAGTTTCACAAAGTTTTGTATGGAATGGCTTACAAAATAAAAAGTAAAACAATGAGATTGTTCACACTACGCACGGCAGTTCCATAAGTAGAGGCTCTGCTACCTACTCTATATAAATAAGTTAAATAAATAGGGCAAATAAATATTAAATAAATGGGTACAGTATTGACCTTTATTAATATATTTACAGTGCATAGTGAAAATACAATTGATCGAGAATTAGCAGAAAAGATTTTGGTATATTTGCTAATTAGACATGACAAATTGAAATAAATATCATTGGAGTGCAAAAGAAGGAACAATATTAAAAGTCTATCAATAATTTACTAAAGGTCATCTAGGGGGTACCCTTATGTACTAACTTGCAGGATAAGGTTATTTTCAATCATTGGCAGATTGCTACTGTTGCTTTGTTTTTTGTGAATTTGGTGCCAGTCAGGGTGAAAGATGTTCACTCTGGTAAGCAAAACACTTCACCATTGCAGGCACTCTGAGTCACTATCAAAGACGTCCAGGTCAGGTACAGCATGGCTGGAGTGCAAACCTCTTCACTCTGCCAAAGGAATGTGTGAGAGATTGAATCTTTGTAAAATATCTATGACTACATCGATGCGATCTGTTCTTTCCATACCTAGCAGCCAGCTGTACTGTACCTCTGAGGAAGGTTGCCAACCATGGGCCAATTAGAAGCTGATTCAGAGCACATTTGTTTGACCAGGAGAATCTTGTTTGAGATTGTCCTGATGTATCATAACCTCTGTGCTTTGAGTGACTCTTGTACAAAGCCCAGTCTGCTTTGGAGTGCAGTTTATGTTATCTTCCTTTTAAAATACATATATACATGTTAAAGATGAAATGAAAATACTTTCTCGAGATTCTGAATCCAATTAACTCAGTATTATAAAATAAATACATTATCTAGTTGTGGCTATCTCATCCTAGGCACACTTTTTCCTCCTTTTAGTTTGCTGAAATAAAAGTTCATGTCCTACTCCAGCTCTTTCTCAGATCCCCAACAGTGAAGAACTCCTTATTTTCTTCAGCACTCTCTTTCACCTATAGACAATCCGCTTTTAAAAAAACAGCTTGGCATCACCTACTGTTTACTGTTTTACCCCTCTTCTCCAAATCACTTAAATCTATGCAGCTTGCTGCACTACGGGCCACTCTTTTGGTCTAATGATGTCACTTCCCCAATAATAAAGAGAAAAGGCTGGAAAAGTTGAGGTTTACAGAAGAAACATGTTCTCATGTGAGGACTTTTAAGACTATATGGAGAAAAAGACTAGCCTTCCTTCATCCCTTGCATTATTTCATTATTCAGCACATGGCCTCAATGTTTAGATTTGTTAACAATTAAATTTTTTTCAGCGCATTGCCTTGCTGGTTAACCAGAATCAGTTCACGTAAACACTCATTTTTAAACAGGCAAAGCAGATCAGACTGATAGTCTGTTGCGGTCTGTTGGAATCTCGCCACATTCTGTGAGTGGGCTTGAAACTGTAGCTGTAAATTAACAACTGGTGCTGTTTTCTGCTGGGGAATGGAATGGTAGCAGTATCCTACTGCTAAATGCAGCTAGCAAGATGGTAGGGTGTACAATCCATACACTGTACACTGCAGTAGATCTACTATGGTGAGTTTGCGATCAAACAGACACTCTGAATCCAAGAGAAATGGGTGTACTTGGCATTTCTAAGGGTGAGGGCGATGACGAGTGCTGGTGAGAACGGTGGTGGGAGGGAACCTGTGTCAGCTGTTCTCACACATAACCTTATTCATCATCTCGGTGTGCCAGGGCCTAAGCTTCCTCTGAAAATAGCTACAGTGCACCTGCTGAGATGCTACAACTTTCATGTTTAATTGCTACTATTGGCACTGTGAACTGACTCTGTGTTGGGACTACACAGCCCTTTGTAACAATCAGACCAAAACATGATGGAGAAATTGCTTTAAGTTACTTTGATCAAACTTGGCATAAGTTTTTTTTTAAATAAAGAAAGCACCCAATGATTTCATTTCATCTTTAAAGTAAGGGATGGACAAGGAGAAATATGAATCTGTTTTTCTGTTTCACATGTGCTGTGACACATTCACATGCACCAGATTCCACACGTCACTTAAGCAGTGGGAAACCAAAATAACAGAGAGGTCAATCTGCAAGTAGGCAGCAGGGAAGGATGGTGGTGCAAGGGGAATGTAGTGCTCTGGGGGAGGGGGTGCGTTGGGAAAATAGGGAATGTGTTGCCAGGGAGAGCGTTCAGCGTCGCAGGCTCTCGTAGCTCCCTGCAGAATCGTAGCTCTTGCTCCTACTGCGGCTGCTGCTCTGTCCTGGTGAGCTCCGGCTCCGGCTCCGGCTCCTGCTGGCACTGCGACTCCAGCTTCTACTGGAATAGCTCTGGCTGCGGTTCCAGCTCCTGCTCCGGCTCCGGCTCCTGCTCCTGCTGCTGTACCAGGAGGAATAGCTGCTGATGCTGCTGGAAGAGGAGGGGCTAGGCCTATAGTACGGGATGGGTCGTTTGCGAGCACTGATAAATAAAGAAGATAAGAGTGTTTTTTTTTAAAAAAAACGCTCACTGACAAACAACATGCTGGTGATTGTCAAAGATGGGTGTCCCTTTCTTAATGCATACTGGTGAGGAATTAAATATCGGTGGAGAAACAATTGAAACAGTCTTGATCCCCTGTATATTCCCCTGATATTCTGGTCCATTAACTTCAGCAAAATATTGTATCATACAAGTCCAATAATCAGGCAGCAAACAGGATTCCACAACTCTCTCCCCACCCTTGTTCAATTTCACATTCAGCATCTGGAAACTTTCCAAGCAGTCCATCCTTACAACAGCTGCATAATAATGACCTGAGTTCACAGAGAACTGGAGCCTGAGTCTGTAAGGTTTCCAGAATATGTCTCTCTTCTCTGGTCCCAATTATATGGTTATGTTTGATAAAGCCTGTTAATCTTCACTCACATGAGTGGACGCCTGATCTTATTACATTCCTCGCCTGGCGATATCCCCCATTACCATCTAGTTGGAGGTTCAGTTCTGGTTCAGTGAAGATTGCAGGAGGGCATGCTAGGAGCAGCACCGTCTAAAAATGAGGTATCGACTTGCTGAAGTGGCAGCACAGAACAAAGTGGATGCTAGACTGCAGAAAACAGCATTTGATAGACACAGCGAAGTGATCTCAGCTAAAATCATGGAATCATACAGACACGG